CTTTCTTTCTTTTTATTGTGGGAACTACTTTTGGAGAAAACGGCCCAGAACATCATCGCAACTATCTCCTGAGAGCGACTACTACAAGAGAAAGCCCACATTTAGTATTTATTACATTTATGTGTCTTAAACTTTGAGCCATGTCTGACTGACAATCGTGTCTGAAGTCCAAGTGTCTTTGAGAGTCCAGATAAACTCTGTGTAAAACTGATGAATAATTAAAGCATCTCTGAACTTTGTGGCATACTTATACTAAATGTAAAAACACACGTTACTTTCCATCTGTATTTGGGGAAAACAGCTGCATTATTCTAAACTTTTCACCTTTAGTTTCCAGCTTTCTTCCCCAAATAACTCCTGAAAACTCATATTTGTGCAGTCTCCTGTGACCCGCCTGTCGGGGGACACTGCGGCTATAGCCTTTAAGAAACCCAATAAACGTTGACGGATATCTCCTAAAAGGCGTGAGACTTGGTGATAAGCTTCAAACCTACTCCCTCCACAAAACAAACCATTGCGCCTCGAATAAAAGAGTCATTTTGGTCGATATTAAAGAGCTCTCTAGTTGCAGTGCTGGGTCTAGTGATCTGACAGTGAGTGAAAGCATAGAAATGAGAAATTATTCAAATATCGGCAGGCGCTATGCTAATCGGGGCTATGCTAATTTAATTGGCTGATTTAGATTGGCATTTATTACTCTGTGTGAAATGAAACTGTAATTTCTGATTTTAGAAACAAACATTTGAAATTAATTCTTATAAATGCAACGAGGAGGAGGCAGAGAAGAATTTACAATCTAATTAATGTGAAAAAAGGTTATTTATCAAAATACCTTTATAAAGTAAAACATTTATAACACACTTTTTATACTTTAGACCCTCTACGAGCAGAGGTCTCACAGCCATTTCAGATACTATAAAAACTATATAGACTCTCTCATAATGCTAACTCAATGCTGTTGTGATCGCGTGGTAGCTCGGGACCACACACAAACAGGGAAACGCTCTCTCTCTCACACACACACATACATTAATTATTCAGACCTTGCCATTCTGATCTGGTGATAGCTTACAATATTTACGCCGCAACACGAGCCGCCTTCACCTCCCTTGCTTTCACCTCCTCTGCCTTCACCTCCTCTGAGAGAGACCAGTGAGAGGCCAGAGAGGGACCAGAGAGAGGCCAGAGAGCGAGACCAGAGAGGCCAGAGAGAGAGACCAGAGAGAGGCCAGAGAGAGAGAGACCAGAGAGAAACCAGAGAAAGACCAGCGAGAGGTGCTCCGCTTTCAAAGAGGACTGTGAGCTACCTGTTCTGGAGGTTCTTTATGAATCCAGACTCTTCAATCCAGCTCATAGAATAATCAATGACGCTTCCGGCCCCTAGAAAATTCCCAAAAAATAACAATTGTAAACCGCTTTGTGACTCTGGTCTGTGAAAGGCGGTATATAAATAACGATTACTTACTTACTTACTTACTAGAAAAGCCATGTTCCAGCTTCTTCCCTGTGGCCCAGAGGAGGTTTCTCACTGACCCAGAGGAGGTTTCTCACTGACCCAGTGGGAAAAAGTGAGAAACCTCGGGGAGGCTTCTTAAGAGGGAGAGGGGTTTATTAAGGTACCTTGAACCTCTTCCATTTCTCAAGAAGAATCAGACTTTTCAAACAGTAGAGAATAGACTTCCAGACTCTTCCGTTGCTGCCCTAACACAATTCTGTTGAGACATTTTTAGCACATTTTCCAAAGCCCAAATCTTAACCAACGACAATTGAAATGTTATTATGATAATAATAATTCATTTTATTTCATAGCGCCTTTCAAGACATCCGAGGACACTTTACAATATATAAAAAAAACATCACACACATAACAAAAAGTACAAAATGTAAAACATTATACAATTTCAAAGAATAAGCCAGGTTTTGAGATGTGTTTTGAAAAGAGTCTAACTGTCACAGGTCAAGCAGTAAAGTGTTCCAGAGTTTAGGGGCAGAGTGGCTGAATGCTTTGGCCCCCATCGTGGCCATTTTGATTGTGGGGACAGTGAGGAGAGCAGCAAATGAGGAGCGGAAAGAGCGGGACGGGGTGTACAGGTGAAGCAGGTCACTCAGGTATGAGGGGGCCAGGCTATGGAGAGCTTTAAATGTGAGAAGGAGGAGTTTAAATCTGATTCTGTGGGTTATGGTGAGCCAGTGGAGTTGGCTGAGAATTTAGTTCGGGTGATGATCCTAGCAGCAGAGTTTTGGACATGTTGGAGACGTTGGATGTGTTTTTGAGGTTAACCAGTGTGAAGGGGGTTTCAATAGTCCAGACGTGAAGTGACAAATGCATGAACCAGGACTTGAGTGGAGTGTTGGGTGAGAGATGGGCGGAGTTGGGATATCTTGCATAGGTGGAAAAAGGCTGTGCGAATATTTTGGTTGATGTGAGCTGTAAATGAAAAAGTGGAGTCCAGTATAACACCCAAACTCTTTACGTGTGAAGACATGTAAAAAGACATCATCAGTCAAGAATGAACTTTTTTCAGGTCGGGTCAGGATGGGAGCTTCCATAAGTTGCTTCAGCCAATACTTCTTGTGTTGGGCTACAGTCAGTGAATGTAAAACTGTATCTGTTATTAAGAAAAAAGAAGAGAAGAGAACCTTTATTCGTGCCACGGTGGGGAAATGTCAGTGTTGCAGTGCACATAAAGGACAGCACACATACAATATTTATACATTATAAACTGCTATGTTTTTTAGCTATCTGTAAATGCTTCAATATCCATGTATCTCTATCTATATCTATATAGTGTAAAGTTATATACTGTATGTAGGGCAGGATAATAAGTAGATAAAGTGGCAGTGGACATTCTGAAATGAAGTTAATCAAATGAACAATGAACTAAAGTAAAACCCAATCCAAACGTTTGTCTCGTCGATTCACCAACACAGACAGAACTGAGGCTCCAGCAGGTGAGGGCCCAGTGTGATACTGGCAGAACAATTGCAGTCTTTCTCTCTCAAATCAAAATATGTCCATTAACCAAAGACATTTAACCCATCACCATCTCAACGAAAGACTGTCGAATCATAAAGCATGTAATTATATGCAGATTGCACTGAAACAGACGGGAGGCAATAACAGTAATTAACCCTAATGGGAAAATATGCCATCGCAATGAGGTTTAGAGCTGTTCCCACGGTGACCAGTCCCTCCCCCCTTCTCTGACTTTAATCACACTTTTCCAGGACACTCACAGAACGGGGGGAGACCATTGACGAAGAAGGGGTGAGCGTGATGCATTCAGAGGGCACGGGAGATTACAGAATTCTTCATGTTTGGACGAGACAGCACCGCCCTGAGAGAGACCTCTGGATAATGACCGTCAATCTGACAGACGAGAGAGAGAGAGAGAGGCAGAGAGGATCCACTTCAAGAGAGAGGAGCACGTAGTAGAGCCGCTGCTCAACAACGCAGGGAGGAGAGGGACTTCAACTTGGATCTCAGAGTATCAGATCACTTTGTGGAATTGTGAAAACTGAAATGATTAAACTGAAAATGTGTTAAAAGAGGAGGTAAAATTAAGGATGCATGATATATCAGTATAAATATCAATATCGGCCAATGTTCATACATTTTGTACCTATTGGCATCGGACCAATGAGTATAATTGGGCTGATAAACCACAATGAATGTGTTTTCATCTCAATGCTGTGTCGGGAAGGGGAGGGGGGATTTGATCGTGATAATATCGGTCCTTGGCCATAGAAAATGGCGACAGTGGCTCAGAGCACTGGCCATTGGGCCTGAAGGTTGTGAGTTTGATCCCCCACGAGACCTACTCTAACTGCTCCCACTCATGTCTGCTGTTGTTCTGTCCCTGGGCAAGACACTTTACCCCACTTTGCTCGAAGCCCCTTCTGAAAGACCAAGACTGTGCCGGAGCAGCCATCTTTCCGTGGACCCACCACTTGCAGGAAGATCAGGACTATGAGCAGTGGGTGCAGCTCTATTTGTCAACACCCCAACCCAGAAGTGGATTATTAAAGGGGTTGTGAATGAAATCATCCCAACATTTTCATATGGGTGCATCCCTGGTAAACATACTGTATGCTCTCTGGTCTATCTGTGGTCTCTGGTATATGCAGTGGAGATTGTAGAACCGTAATGACAGGTGACTCAAATTTGAAATGTATCAAGGTTTACTTTAACTTTACTGCAGTGAGACCATATTATGACAGTATTCACATCCAAATGGACTTAACAATACAACAGTTTCCATGACGCTACAAATTCCATGACCAGACTTCAGCATATGGAGTGGATTCCAAGTGTTGTTTTTTTGTTTGAGATTTGTACCTGTATGTCAGGGTTAAATATCAAGAGGAGGCTTCACCGGAGAGAATACAGTATGGGTGAGTATGGGTGACACTCCAAGCATGCAGCGGCTCCCTGGTCTCGCCCTGGTCTCTCTAGTTCGTCTGTATGGTCTCTAAGTATTTAGATTCATTTCAATTCATTTAAAGTTATTCTTAAAAACACATTGGGATTGGTCCATAATGGGCAGATGGTTGAATGTTGAGATTCTTGGCTCATCTCCACTGTCTTTATGTTAGACCTCACAAGTCCACAATAAGAGATGGATGGGCTGTAGATCCGGGACTCAGACTGTAGAACAAGGACCGAGGCCACACGGTGCAGGACTGAGGCTGCAGAATGATTCCAATTTACATTTATCCCACCAGGGGCAAATTGTTTGAGTAGCACAGGGCAAACCTAAAGAAAACATGAAAAACACATATAAACTAAGGAAATGTCAAACAGTAACATCGATATTGAATTGAAGTGTTTCAAGTAATGGAAATGGAGAAAAAAAATGTCCCGTCTGTATTCAGTGCTGAAGAATGGGCGTCTCCTTTTCCCCTCGCGCACCTTCAGCTCAAACACCTCCTCTTCATCATCCTCCTCATCACTCCGCTTCACCCACACCCCCTGAATGCGTCACGTGACCGCGCAGCTATTAGAATGCGCTGACGTCGGAGCTCCGCCAGTACAGCGGCGCCTCACTGCTCAGCTGCCCGGCTTCAGCGCTCCCTGGGCCGGCTACACTAGACCTGTCAAGCGTCGGGGAACCTGCCGGAGCTCTGGATCCCATCTCCCAATGTGGATCTGCGGGAGAAGGACATGGACTATTCCTGCATTTATACATTTATTTTAACCTATTTGACAAGGAACATATGATCCAATTATTAAGAGGCGATTGAGGATATTATTATTTTTGCATCATTCCCACGAGCATCGCGCTGTGCTGCTACTTTTACTGGATAACATCTGGTGAATACAAACAACAAGATTTAAAGATAGGAGCGAGATTCTTTGTTTGTTTGTTTTTTTGCTCAGAATACAGCGGAATCCTGCTGTTGTTTTGCAGACACAGGAGGAGGCTGAGCGCGCACATCCCTGGGAGGCAAGAGAGAACCACGTATAAGCGGCTGTCGTGGTCCTAGATCTGGGGGTTCAAACCAGACAGTGACGGAGGCAGAGAACCAGGAGAGAGGGGAGAGCGAGAGGCGCGGACCCCGGAGCGGCTGCTTGGTGCACGGGGATGGAGAGCCGAGCCGTGGGGCGGGGAGGAGGGGTGTCCTGGAGCTCCATCCATCCGGCCCGCAGGAGAGGAGGTGAGGTGGACCGCTACATGTACGGTCATTATTCATTTAGCCTCTCCTCCGCCCTCTCCGCTCCCCTCCATTACATCCTGGAGTCTGCGTGTGCGCGTTGCTGTACGTCCATCAATCAATCAATGCTCAACGCTGCTGAGGCTGAGGCTGGATATTGGTTTTCATGGTGATAGGTTTAAATATGGTTTTATATTCTAGTGTTTCCTTTACAAAAGCTATTGCAAAACACACATACGATTACAATACGTTTTCATTCAGGCGTTGCTTTAAAAATTGGGTTAATGTCTGGGTGTGTATGGGGTTAACTGACAACAGAACAACGCTGAATATAAAAATCAATACTAAAAGCAATGTAGAACCACTCTCATCTGACAAAGTATTGATAATACTGTAGTAGTGTGCAGATTGCATCCAGTGTTTGGGATAGGGGAGTATATATAGGTGCTGTAATCAGAAGTGCTGTTGTATGTTATAGGAGCTAGAGTGATGTATGTGAGTGTGATTGTACTTGATATAGAATAATCTAATAGTACATTATAATTGTACGAGAGCATAGACCTATTTCTAGTATGTCGCCACAACACTATTTACCCACATATTTATACCTAATGACAATAATAATAATGTTTTTGTATACGCCGCTATTTGTAGGTACTGACTGTCTCTACAAAAGGTACGAAGTGAAAAGTGGACGGTGACAGTCTGAATAGAGTTTGGAAATTATATTATAGACAATCCAAAATTAAATGTAATTTTATTTTTGCACTGCCCTAAATCACAACAGTAGTTAGGGTTAGGGTCTCAGATCAGAAAATAACACACAGGAAATACAATGATAGCAAACACATTGGGAGACTTTGGTCCATAAGAACCAGTGTTCTCCCATCACTGTGTGGAGTGAGAGACAAATGCCCACAACAATTGTAAAGCTTTTTGAGACTGTGAGAGGTGCTATATAAATAAACTTAACTTACGTCAAGCCTAGTTCAGCCTTTTGATGCAATTAGTCTCCCCAACATATTTATACCTCTCTTAACCTTTAGTACGATAAGAACCACTTAAGTGTAACAATCCTCTGTGCTAAGAATGCTTATTGTCTTAAAAGGGGCATTTTTCTTATAAATTAGTACCAATTGTTATAGAAAAATGTTGGTTGTTGTATTATTTACTTCAGAATGTTAGTTTTGTGTCACTGCAGCAGATACAGTGGAAGTGTGAAGGAGGAAGTCTGCAGAGTGCATGAAATGAGAAGACATTCATCTCACTTTTAATCATTATGTCCTAAAGCTGTGGACGCTTTGTGTGAGAAGGGTGTGGCAATATGTGCCTCTACAATCTTTACTGACACTGAATTTAGATTTCAATTCTTGCTTAGGTTGAACCAAACCTCTATACATCTGGTTCGGCTTTGAAGTCCATCTAGTGTCTGGGAGAATTATGTTATTGTATAAGTTAACTTTAAGTATTTGTTTTTACACCTGCTTCAAACGTTAGCAGGAAAACTCATTTACTTTTTAGTCAGAAGAACACAGTTTCCTATATTGTTGGTCCAGAACGCAGCAGCACGACTTTTAACGGGGGCCAGAAAGCGCGAACACATCACCCCTGTACTCGCGTCTTTGCACTGGCTCCCTGTTCATTTTAGAATTGATTTTAAAATTTTACTGTTTGTTTTTAAATCTTTGCATGGACAGGCCCCTGATTATATCTCTGACCTAATCCAAATTTACACTCCTGCGCGCGCCCTGAGGTCCGAGAGCCAGCTCCAGCTCGTGGTCCCTAACGCGAGACTTAAAACCCGGGGGGACAGAGCCTTCTCTGTGGTCGGCCCTAAGCTCTGGAACGCTCTTCCCCTCCATGTCCGGACGGCCCCCACAGTAGAGTGTTTTAAGTCTCGTCTTAAGACCCACTTTTACTCTTTGGCTTTTAACACTGCGTGAGTTGTGTGGTCCTCTGTGTTTTTATTTTATTTTATTTCTATTTATGGTTTTAATCTGTTTTATATATTTTTATTCTTTTTTACTTGGTGAAGCTAAGGATAAGTTGTTATTTATTTTATACTTTTTTGTGCAGCACTTTGGAAACGTAACTGTTGTTTAAATGTGCTATATAAATAAAGTGGATTGGATTGGATTGATATCTTTTGAAGGAAATGCAATAATAACAAACACATAGGAGGCATTGGTCCAAAGAGAGAAGGATGTAGACCCAGGACTGAGGCTGTAGACCCAGTACTGAGGCAGTAGATCCAGGTCTGAATAACAAAAGCAGTGGAGTGCAGTTGAATTTAAAACAAACTCTACACAAAACTTGTAATCTTAAAACCCACTTATCACTACATGGAACCATCAACATCACGCCTCAAATTGCATTAAAAGTGACATTTGTGACTTTATTTGGTCGTATTTAAACTTTTTATACAATTGGCAGACTTATATGTCCGCCATCTTGGTTTGCTTCAGCTGCCGTGAGACGCTCATGCGCAGGTTTGCATTACATCATAAACAGCAGAGGCAGCACAACTCGACAAGCGGCACAAACCGACAGAACACTGGCGATGCCAAAGCAGCTCTGACTCAGGTCATACAGGGACCGGACGGCCCTCAGCAGAGCACCCCGGAGAACACTCCAAATCCACAAAGCACGTTGTGGACAGGTTGGGCAAACTCCCATGTTTTTGAGTATCCGATGGAGAGTATAGAGCTGGTCCGGCAGCCGGGATGAAAACCACACTGCTCCTCCTCAATCCTTGATTCCACCATCTGTCGAAGTCTCCGCTCCACTACCTTGGAGTAGACCTTACCGGGGAGGCTGAGGAGTGTGATCCCCGATAATAGGAACGCACCCTGTGGTCCACCTTATTGTAGAGATGACCACCACCCCGGTCTGCGGGTTATTATAGGTCTCTTCACATCATTATTCATTCACTTCATACACATTAGTGATAACACTTTGTAGCCACAACCCTGGGACAGAATTGAGGCAACCAGTGTGTACCATCGGCCCCTCCCATCGCCGCTAACCATTCACACACCAGACTCATTCTAATGTGGGCGGCACGGTGGCTGAGTGGATAGCACTCTCGCCTCTCAGCAAGAAGGTCCTGGCTTCGAATCCCGGTTGGACCAGGGTCTTTCTGAGTGGAGTTTGCATGTTCTGCGTAGGTTTCCTCCGGGTGCTCCGGTTTCCCCTACCACAAAAAATATGTACAATAGGTCAGGCATGTACTCCTCCTGTACTGGTACCCCCACTCCCAAAAATAACAATTGTAAACCGCTTTGAGACTCCGATCTGCAGTGAAAAGGCGGTATATAAATAAAGATTACTTACTTACTTACTAAATGTGGGGGAAGGACAAAATAACAGTACAGTACTAATCAGGTCCATCCCTGCTTCGAAGATCTGACGGGATCTGGCTCTCACCTGCAAGTATGATCAAGTACAGTTGTTGTGTTAGTTAGATTACTCACTTTGCAAATGACTGAGAATGTATTTATTTAATTATTGATTTATTTGATTGAGAAACGTTACACAATCAACATGAGAAACACTAAATTTACGGATGATCTGCAACACCTGTCTCTTTGACAAACTCCGCAGTAAAATCAGAGGCGGAGGGAGAGCAGCAGGAACACACACCACACTCTACAAATGTTGATGTTGATGAGTATTATATTGGGATGCACCGATACTGATATCGGGTCGATGCCACGCATCTGATACCCACATTTTAAATTCACATCAGCGTCACGACAGAAGACAGCTGTGCGTGTTGCCATGGTGATATCCCAAAGACGGCAGCGAGAAAGCAAGCTAGCATAGAGCAGGCTAGTAGCAAGTAGGTTAGCGACCGTATGGCGGTTTTTTTAAGGGAATGAGAGTTACAAGAGTAAAGTGGACTGTACGTCGTGTAAGGCCCCGGCTGCATAAAACGTCCTACGTATCCGTCCAAACGTGTCCCTTTCATCTCCGTTTCCGTTATCTCCATGAGGGTAAATGGAAGTGGCTCCAATGCCCGCAACATGCGTCCGTGTAATGTATAATGCCATATAATGCCGTAGGGAGCAGTCCGTCCACGCAGGCTGCAACGAACGCGGACGGACGAAATAGAAACAATCCTATTTTTTACGTCCGTCGAAGCGTGTCGGGTCGGTTTTCCATTGGAAATACAATGGAATAATATGTTTACTACATTATAATACATGTATAATACATGATGTAAACTGTATGGCCAATCCAACATGCTGGTCAGAAAGTTTAACATGTGCTCTGTGAATGTTAAAACCTCCCTGTTCCAATCTTTTTGTGCTCCCTTATACACAGCCCAACTATGGCGGAGCTATAAGCAGGCCAGTCTGCAGAAGTTAACTGTTGCCTATAATGACTCGATGAGGATGCTGTTGAAGATCCCCAGACACAGTAGTGCGAGTCAGATGTTTGCTGAGTGCAGGGTGCGCTCCTTTCCTGCTGCCCTACGTCACTGCTACTATTGGTTCATGTGTAGAGTGGTGAGGGTGCCTAATGCTATTGTACAGTCACTGGTTTGTCCTTACATTAGCTCAGTCAGGTTCACTTCTTTGCTCTGGAGTCACTGGCGTGCTTCTCTGTACGTGTGACTTGGTCTAAATATGTGAATATGTGATTACTATGTGTGTTTTAACTCTGTTCTGTTTTTTTTTTTTAACTTTTCTTTCATTATTCTTAGCTATGGATCCTGTGCTTGCATGTGAGTCCTTAATAAAGTATAAAAAAAAACAAAAAAAACAAAAACAAAAATACATGTATTGATATAAGCTGTGGTCCTGGTTATAAGAGTTTGTTAATGACAATGATTATTTTGTGTAATTTATTTTCATGTATTAAATTGAAATAACTGTTTCCTGATCGTAAATCTACCGTTTATTTTTTGCGCAATGTTAATATTGACTCGCTTTCAAAAAATCCTGGATATGTTGGAGTTCTTTTCTCTCTCCACCGCTTTTTACCTATTGCTCTCAATAAGTTTTGCCTCATCCTCGATGCTTCAATATGCTGTGCTTTGCATAGATCATAGCCACAGCTCATGCAAATCACACACCGCTTCTTCTATCTAAAACAAAGCCTCACAGGGTGCTGTTAAACGCACAGCCAGAGCTGCACGCTGCTGAAGCCGGTGTGGCCACTATTCCGTTTTACGGACGTTTGACGGGCAGCAGTTTACGCGCGTAAACGCAGACGCGGCCGGTGGAGTCCAGGCCTAGGCAAAACGTATAACACCAGCAACTTGATCAAACTCACCAACATGCAGAGTAACCTTTACTAGCACCGGAGCTATTTCTATACTATTTGTTTGTGTGGATTATGACAGTGGTTCTTATTGTTGACTAGCCTGACCTTAGCCATTTGTACACTCCACTCAAACATCATTTCACTGCATGTAACGTCTGGGTCTGGTCCCTGTGTTTGCGATTACATCGGTTGAATTCCATCCGACCAATCAGCAAGTACGGGAGGCGGGTGTTGTAGTTAGTTGTGGGTGACGTCAAGAGTTTGCAGAGAACGGGCAGTTTGTAGTTTGGCAATGGCGAGGAATGCGATAGTAAAGAAATCCGGTCTGGTTCTATCAAGAAATTGAAGCCGGAGAAAGAGGAATGTTTACCAAATGAAATCGCTGGCAAAGATTGTGGCGTTACTCCCCAGGGGCTCCGTTAGCGGCAAAGGAGATGGCTGGGCTAAAAGCTAACAACTCACTCGGGCGCGTTACATACAGTATGTCACGGTAAACTCGTTTCAATGTGCAAAAGGAGTTAACCCCTCCCACCTGTAAACGGAGCTCAATGGAGCAAATCCAGACATTAGTACGAAATGTAATTTGTACTATGGTGTGGTACCACCAGGCTATTTGTTAACTGTTAAAACAATCTCTAAAATGTTTAGTTATTAACACTAGAAAACCCAACCGAAATTGGCCCCTGTTTTGAGAAGAGGGAGCTAACTTGCTAGGTAGGCTGCTAACATTTGCATGTATTGATTTGCAAATGTAGGTAATGACTTATAACAGCAGGGGGCTGGGGTGGGCTTTGTTTATTCGTGCGGGGGAGGGAGAGCTGCAAGAGAGTACTACAGTAGTCTGTGAGACCACAGATACACATGTGCTGTGTACCCTGAGAATGCGCTGTATATATTTTGTAATCAGTTTTTTCTCAGTGTCTTTGGTGCATTTTTCACATAATTCTTCACACTTTAACAACAGTTAGTGCATTTCTCAGAACAATGAGTGCAAACTGCAAAACCTCATGGATAACCTGCTAAAAAGTCACTTTCTCAAAATGAACTTAATTCCTCAAAAGAAAGTCTTCATGTCAATGAAACGGTCTGTGTCTCAAAAGAATAAGTCCTGACATCAGTGTTTAATAACAACAGTCAAATGATTTAGTCATGTTTTCATTGTGACTGTATTTAGTGATACATATGTATGTACTGTATGTTCACATATTTACTGCTTATGCTCTTTGCAATTCTACAGCATTCTGCAACAAAAATAGTACACATACAGTATTTACGTAGCAAAACATACAAAAAATCATTACGGTAGAACCTCCACAACATTGAGTCGTGTGTGACATCATCGCGGCAGTTTCTCCTTTGAACACTTTACAAATGCTTTTGGACATGTATCAGTTACTTTCATACAGTTCTCTGCTGTTTTATAACATTAACATTTGCTTCTGTCCTGTCGATCAGAATGAAACATACTTTTCACAACTGAATAGTTTCTGTAAAACCAGTAGTCCTCATTTCATCGCTTTGGTCATCACATACAAAACTGTTCAAAACCAAAATCTGTCAAACTAATTTCATACATTACTTTATCTTTTTATATCCAGAAAATCTTTCCTAATTTCGAATTTCAGCTTCAGTATTTCTGTTGCACAATGCTGTAGAATTGCAAAGAGCATATGCAGTAAATATGTGAAAGACATACAGTACACAGACATACATCGAAACACATACATGCACAAACACACACACACAGTAAATACATACATGCACAAACACACACACACATACAGTACATACAGTATAAATGTTCTTTTACTCTCACTAAATACAGTTGTGTGTAACTTTACTGTAGTTTTCAGCTGTACAGTGCTCACCAAGATCAGATTTTTTGCTTCGAAAACACAGAGAGTAAAGTGTCACAATGAAAACGTGACGAAGTCATTTGACTGTGTTGTTCATACTCCGTGTTGTTAAGACTTATTATTTTGAGAGACAGACAGTTTCCTCGACATGAAGACTTGCTTTTGAGGAATAAACTTTTCATTTTGAGAAGGTGATGCACTTTTGCAGGTTATCCCCAAGGTTTTGCAGTTTGTACTAATTGTTCTGATAAATGCACTAACTGTCGTGCAAATGTGAAGAATTATGTGATAAATGCACCAAAGACACTGAGAAAAACTGTAAGTAGCATATTTATTTTGTAAACAATGTAAATGTATACATTGAATGACGTTGCTCGTTTGTTTTCACTTTATTATTTTCATTATTATTTTTTAACTAAAGTCAGGATGACACTAGATTTAACTCATTTTAACTAATCAGATCCTACCTCTCCCGAAGAAGATAAAGTAAAGTGGTTGAGCAACTTCAGCTCAGCCTGTGATAATGGCCTTATTTACATAACAAAGTTGGACGTTCACAGGTGATTTAGTTTGTTAGCTAAAATCCTTGGAGTCATTTGGCACCGTGGTGGGCTTTTTAGGCAGAAGTGCCAAATGGCACCTCCATGGGTTTGCTAGTGTTAAAGTTATTTTCCTAATGGTGAAATGAGAAATAAAATATTTTAGGTTTCAGTTGTAATAGTTTTATGAGTTCCAGGATAACACAATGTAGTACTCATAACGGTACTCTGTATCGGCAAGTACTCAAATTAAGGTACTCTTACTCGTATTGGTTATGAAAAATAGTTTTGTCGGTGCATCCCTAGTATTATATTTTCATGTTTTTAAGATGAAAATCAGTGTGACTTCATAATGTGCAGTGCATCATGGGTACACCCTAGACCTGCAATGGGGAGGCAGCATTAATTACAATAAACATAGTAAAATAGAATAGACAAAGAATCTCCCTCTACAGTAAAATCATCTCATCAAACCATTATTATTCAATAAATCAATCTTTTTTTCAAGCACAAGTCTATAAACAGCAGATTACTTGATATGCATAAAAAAACATACAATAAGTTTATTTGTATAGCACAATTCATGTGAGTACATTAAAGAGAGTAAAGATACAATCCTTCAGGTGATCCACATTTTTAGGAAAACTGGTCTCTCTTTCTAGTCTCTCTCTGGTCTCTCCCTGGTTTCTTTCGAGTCTCTCTCTGGTCTCTCCCTGGTTTCTCTCTGGTCTCTCTCTATTCTCTCCCTGGTTTCTCTCTGGTCTCTCTCTGGTTTCTCTCTGGTCTCTCTCTGGTCCCTCTCAGTTAATGCAAATGAAATCTTCAATTCATTTGAATATAGTTACACATACAAAAATACACTCCCTCAATGTGAGCCTCCTCAGGGTTTCTCTTCTTAGGGTTTCTCACCTCGGGGAGCGGGTCATGTGGTCTCCGGAGCAGAGTGAGTGAACAGAGTCGAGAATATAATCTAGTTTTCTGAGTTACAAGATAAATCTAAATGAAGCCAATAGTGTAGACAATCCATGTTATATGTGTTTTGAAACTCTTGGTTTGTGAGTGGTTTCTGTCCTCTTCACTCATACGTCCTGGAGCATAGAATTTAGAGTTTCTCAGAGTATTTCTAACCTCTTCCTCCAGGTCCTGCAGACATTTACAATATCTTTAATCCTCAGGACAATGATTCACGATGAGCAGAGGTCGAGTCCAGAGCTACAACACAATAAGGACGTTTTTATGCCTCTTTGCTGGATATTACTCAGACATCAGAGATCAGGGCTGCAGAGAGCACAGGGACTGCCACAGAGAGCACAGGGATGGCAGCAGAGAGCACAGGGATGCAGCAGAGAGCACAGGGATGGCAGCAGAGAGGACAGTTACAGCTGCAGAGAGCACAGGGATGCATCATTGAGCACAGGGACAGCTGCAGAGAGCACAGGGATGCATCATTGAGCACAGGGACAGCTGCAGAGAGCACAGGAAATTCTATTGTCAGAGAAACCTAGGTTTTTCATTGTGTTGAATCCATTTGCTTCACTACTGCGCAAATATGTTCCATTCAAGTCTGATTCAAAGCCAGAGATTCTGAGATGCAGTTTTCACATGTGTGTAATAGGCAAAGCTTTATTTTTTATATAGTACACTTCATACATGCAACTCAAAGGCATTAAAATTATTAAAACATAATAATCCCAGCATATTAAAAAAGCAGCCCAGCCAAACACAATTGTTTTGAATCTGGATTTAAACATTTTCAGAGAAGAAGCTTGTCTCACATTATCAGGAAGACTGTTCCAGATTTTAGTTGCATTAATCTGAAATGCAGCCTGTGTTTAGTCCTGACTGGGACCACCACGAGGCCAGTCCCTGTGCTCCTCAGAGTCCCAGCAAGAGGCCAGTCTTTTCAGACAGAAAAGTGACTTTTTAACACACAGGACCAAAGATTCATCATCACCATCTCAAAACATTCATTTTATTCTCTTTTTACTCTTCCACCGGTGCTCTTCACGTTCATGTCTGTGCAGAGAACAAAAATACATTTATTGTATGAGATAGTTACACAGATATTATAAGTAACGACTTTCAGGTCTCTTATCTCTCTCTCTCTCTATGGCAGGGGTGTCAAACTCATTTTGGTCCGGGGGCCACATACAACCTAATCTGATCTCAAGTGGGCCGGACCAGGAGATGCTCTACAAAAATATCCAAAAACGGAACAAAGTCCAACTTTTTGTGCACATAAACACATTTATTTAAAACTTCCTTTAAAACACTATCCTTTAATACTCAGTTTTCTGTTACAAACTTAAATGTAACAGTGAGTTTTCCATAGTGCAAATAATGTAATGTATTTACAATATTACATTGAAAATGGTATTTCACAATATGTATATTAATATTTGTATGTTAGCTTTGTTTTAAGGCTCATTACAGAGAAAACCTGCTCACAAAGGTAAAGTAGGTAGATAGAAAAAAGCACTTAAACACAGCACCTCAGCTTAACCATCTTCAGTGTGGTCAGGTCCATGGTTATGTTATTATCACATTAACCATCTTCAGTGTGGTCAGGTCCATGGTTATGTTATTATCACATTAACCATCTTCAGTGTGGTAAGGTCCATGGTTATGTTATTATCACATTAACCATCTTCAGTGTGGTAAGGTCCATGGTTATGTTATTATCACATTAACCATCTTCAGTGTGGTAAGGTCCATGGTTATGTTATTATCACATTAACCATCTTCAGTGTGGTCAGGTCCATGGTTATGTTATTATCACATTAACCATCTTCAGTGTGGTAAGGTCCATGGTTATGTTATTATCACATTAACCATCTTCAGTGTGGTAAGGTCCATGGTTATGTTATTATCACATTAACCATCTTCAGTGTGGTAAGGTCCATGGTTATGTTATTATCACATTAACCATCTTCAGTGTGGTAAGGTCCATGGTTATGTTATTATCACATTAACCACCTTCAGTGTGGTACGGTCCATGGTTATGTTATTATCACATTAACCATCTTCAGTGTGGTACGGTCCATGGTTATGTTATTATCACATTAACCATCTTCAGTGTGGTAAGGTCCATGGTTATGTTATTATCACAGAGAAAGCATCAAACTGATAGTTTCAGTAACACCACAAATGAATATGTGACATCAGTAACATCAGTCTCTTATCAATGGCAACATGTTGGTAAAAGCGAGTGGTTTCTCAGACCATGTCTGCAGCCTGTAAGAGAGATTTAACAAACTCTCTCTCACTGTGCGGCTGCGATGCTAATGCTAATGTTGTTAGCACAGGTAGCTTCCCTTTACAGCAGCAGCACTAACCTCTCGCTCTGGGCACAAACAGACTGCTGTGTCTTCAGGGCCAGACAGGTTTATCTTCTGTTTTCTCAATCCTTCGCTCAAAGTGCCGTATTTTTCGCCGAGTCTTGTAGTTTAAGATGTTATTCCTTCAGCACCGCTCTGGTGGAGCCACTACAGACGCACTGGACTCACCCCTGAGCGCGGCGCCTCGCGGCGCGGAGCCTCGCGTCGCCTTGCGTCGCGGAGCGGCTTTTTAAAATGTAACTTTATTATATTTTTACATAAATGAGCCACGGGCCGTGTCAAATCTCTTGGCGGGCCGGTTCCGGCCCGCGGGCCGTATGAATGACACCCCTGCTCTATGGTATCTCTGTCTTTATCTCTCTCTGGTCTCTCTCTTAAGCCTTTCTGTCTCTCTAGAATCTCGCTCTTTGGTCAATCACTCTCTAGCCTCTCTCTCTCTATAATCTCTCTCTCTTTGGCAACTCTCTGTTTGGCATCTATCTCCCTGGCCTCTTGGTCTTTGGTCTGTCTCTATGGCCACTCTCTATCTCTCTGGCCTCTCTCACGCTGGTCTCTATCTCCCTGGTCTCTCTCTGGCCTCTCGGTGTCTGGTCTCACTCTGGTCTGTCTTTATGGCCACTCTCTGGTCTCTCTCTGCTCTCCCTCTCTGGTCTCCCTCTCTGGTCTCTCTCCCTGGTCTCTCTGGTCTCCCTCTCTGGTCTCTCTCTCTGGCCTCTGGCAGTTGACTCCCCCCCGTCCTGTCCCTCGCCTTATTGAGCTCGGCCTAGCTCTTCATTAGCGTCACTGAAGCTAATTGGCCGACGTGGCGCTGACATCGACGACCACCACAAGAGTTCCAGTGTGTGTGTCTGTGTGCGTGTCTGTGTGTGTCTGTGTGCGTGTGGACGGTGTTGACATTTGAGAAAGTTTAAGCGAGTGGGTGGCGAGACGTAACACAGCTTTATAATTGATAGAGGCTGGCTGAGTGGTTAGCCCAGCAGAAAGGTTATGGACTTTGTTAGGATGTGGTTTGGTCGGGCTTTGACCTGCTGTACGCCGTGTTTGTCTCGACTGTGACAAATTAGATGTAGTTGTTGGGAAACAGGAGCATAAAGAGCAAGAGAGAAGCGGGAGATGCATCGGCAGAGTTCATAAGTTTAATACAGCGGTGGACAAAGCAGGAGACAAAGATCATTCTGGAATCTCTGAAATAGAGAACCAAGAAGTGCTGTGGAGGAAGTTACATAACACAATTAAGCAGAATGTTTATCTTATTTCTGATTTACTGTCACAATTCGTTTTCCACTTTGGAGACATAGGACAACAATCTTAGAAAAATAATAAAACAAATATCAAAATAGACACATACAATTTTGAGTTAATATCTATAAATCTCTTTGCTATCACTTTGGTTTCTCTCTGGTCTCTTTCCGGTCTCTCTCTGATCTCTATCTTTGGTATCTCTCTGGTCTCTTTCTGTACTTCCTCTCTGGCTCCTCTCTCTCTGGTTTCTCTCTCTGGTCTCTTTCCGGTCTCTATCTCTCTTGTTTCTATCTCTCTAGTCTCTCTCTCTCGTCTCTATCTGTGGTCTCTCTCTCACTGGTCTCTCTCTGGTTTCTCTATCTCTGGTCACTCTCTATCTCTGGTCACTCTCTCTGGTCTCTATCTCTGGTCTCTCTCTGTCTGGTCTCTTTCTGGTTTCTCTCTGGTCTCTCTCTGGTCTCTCTCTCTCACATACTTACATTTTTACATTAAGAAGATTGTGGGTTTGATTCCCCTGCTGGATCTCTCTGTGTGCAGTAGGGATGTGCATTTAAAGCAAAAGTACTATTCGATAATCGTGGGGTACTAATCATTAATATTCGAATATTCGACAATAGCTGCCGCCAGACTGCCCCCAACACCCACCGCTGCGGAAACAGATATAGATCCACGATTTTTCTCTTTCTTTTTTATTTTGACAGTGGATGCAATTCACAGCACAACATTATAGAACCGTTTTCTGTCTTTAATCCCATTAAACAAACAGGATATTATATACAATACAAAAGGTGCGTGTGCGGACCGGGTTTTCCTTCATAAATCACCCAATAATACCGTCGTCACGTCAAACAATTAACAAAGTGCGGAGACTTCAAACAATAATTATATAAATGTTGAACATTTTACTAAACATACCTGAGAGACAGCATTGCTGACGTGAACATTTTTTAACATGCTCGTCCTCATAATCCGAAAAATAGTTCAAGCCTAATCCAAGTTTTTATTCAGAAAGATCAGCATGTCCACATGCACGGGGATGAAGACGGGAACGAAGTCTGTTTACAATAAGTCCCGCCGTGGAAAACACCCTTTCCGACGGCACAGATGTGGCAGGCACACACAAGTATGCACTCGCTAATTTTGCCAGCTGAGGATATTTGTTTTCGTTAGTTTTCCACCAGTCCATGGGATCGATCTGCGGGGGTGGACATTTGTCCTGGCAGTAACGGTTCAGTTCAGACTCGATGTCCGTTGTATCTTCTTTATAATAATCCTCACCAAACAGGGCAGCAATAGCAGAGACGGACGCAGCATCACTTCGTGGTTTCTTGGCCCTCAGCTCAGTCTCTTCGGGTTCAACTGCGACCGCCTCCACGAGTTCTGGCTCTGGCCTGCTCGAGAGGAGATCGCTCACCTTGGCCTGCACAGCAACTTTAACATCATCCGATGTGAACCTGAGAGGCTTGTGCCTCGGGTCCAAGAAGGAGGCGATGTACGCCACTTTGCCGGCGCTGCAGACATCTGTCGGTGCGAGTCGCCGCTCAAGTGAAGCAGACACGGAGCGCTTGAACTGAGACACTTTGGGAGATTCTCCCTCATTTTCTTTAAGGTGCTTTGATATAAGAGTTGCTGTAACCGGATAAACCATAGAGATGGAGACTGCAGACTCTCCGCACAACGCAGTAGTAGCGTGTTTCAGCGAGTGTAGCACGTTCATGAGCTCCTCCATCACACTCCAGCTGTTATCTGTCAACTCGAGGGTTCGTGCATCTAACAGTTTGGTGAAGGCTCTGTCTGACAAGACAGCAGATATTGCCCATCTTTGTTCAAGTAGTCGTTGGAACATATCGTAAATAGAATTCCACCTTGTACGGCAGTACTGGATTAATTTGTGCTCAGGTAAGTGCTGAAGTTGTTGTTTTTGTTTCAGCGCTTGTGTTGCTGTTGTACTGTGGTGGAAATGTGAAACCAAACGACTAGCAGATGTAACCACATTGTTTATGTGTTGAAGCTTGAATCCATCGTTTATAGCAAGCTGCAGTGAATGTGCGAAACAAGGCTGAGAGTCCCACTCCACGTGCTCGGTGTTGGCTCGTATCATGTTGCTTGCATTGTCATGGACACAGGCTATAACTTTTCCGCGGATCCCCCAGTGGTCGGTAGCGGTGGAGAGCACGTTGGCAATATTTTCAGCTGTATGCCGCTCTGGCATTGCTTTGGTTTGCAGAACAGCACTCTGTATCTTCCAGCTTTGTATGTAATGGCAAGTGATTGTTACGTATGATTCTGTTGTCAGCGCTGTCCACGAATCAGTGGTCAAAGACACTTTTTCAACATTCGTTAGCTGAGTGCGCAGCTCACTTGTTTTATCATCAAAAAGTTTCTCAAGTCTGGTTGTAATGGTTTTTCTTGATGGGACTGAGAACTCTGGCTCAACAAATGCCATCAAACTCCGAAAACCCTCACCTTCAACGAAGCTGATGGGGAGCATGTCTTTTGCAATCATCTTTGAGATGAGGGACGCCGTTTGCTCCGCACGTCTGTCATCACATGTACGTCTTCTAGTGGCGAAGCTGGCAATTGACTGTTGCTGTGACGACGGCCCGCCGCTTTCACACGGGTGCTTTGCTCTCATATGAGAGTGCATGGTTGTCGTAGACTTGTGATATGCAAGCTTTGCTTCGCAGAGTTTACATTGTACCTCTGTTTCAGTTGTTTTTTGGAAATAGCGCCACATGGAACTTTTTGATGACTGCTGCAGTAATTTCTCCATCGTGTCTTCTCCAGTTTGTTAATTTTCTACGACTTGGCATGTAGCCCGCCACTGTGTATCGTCAAATGGTACGCTGCCCCCGTGCGGAAGCCGCCAGTAATACCATTTTTTCCCCCCTCCAGATATGGTACACTATTCGATTTTTCATGATTTAACGACTATTCGAATATTCGAAAATCGATGCCCATCCCTAGTGTGCAGTCAAGATGGTTCACACAAATCCAGTGACTATGCCCTTGGGCAAGACACCAGCTTCATTCTCAGAGTCTGTGCTCATGGGTGAATAAGAGAGAGGATATAGTTGTTAGTGTTACGGCCGCTGACAGGTCGTACAGCCTCTTCTCTCAGGTGGAAGCGGCGCTCGTTGGTGTGCGTACGTTACAGAGGAAGCCGCGCCTTTAAACCTCCTGCGCACGCCAGACATTCTTGTTGGCTCAACCTGCTCCCATCTTGCCCCCTGCTTCCCCCCCTCCTTTGGTTTGGTTTTGCTTTGGTTAGCGTTGGTTACTTTTGGTTAGCTTTGGTTACTTTTGGTTAGCTTTGGTTATCTTTGGTTCAGTTTGTTTTTAGTGTATTTTCTACATACCATTCAACACACATTCAACCACAGCTCATTAAGAAAAGATTAGATAAGATATACTTTATTGATCTCACAAAGGAGACATTTACATGTCACATCTGGCATGGATAGAAACACTCAAGATTGTGCAAAAAGAAAGAAATGTGCAAACATGTTTAATGCAGGATATTATACAATAAAAAAGTGTTGATTTAAAAAGTGGCAATCAGAAACAGTGTCAATAGTAGAACAGGTTTTTTCAGTCTTAATACAGTGACTTGTTGTACAGTCTGACAGCAGTGGGGATAAAGGCCCTGCGGTAGGGCTCCTAGGCTGTCTCAGTCTTCCACTGAAGGAACTCCTCAGCTCCTCTTTTAGAATATTAACTTATTAATAAATATGATTTGAACTAGCATCTGTTGTTTGGCGAGTTTCTGTCATTTCTACCGAACCGGGTTGTGACATTAGATAATAACGGCGACAGTAGCTCAGTTGGTAGAGCATTGGCATTTGAGCCAGAAGGTGGTGGGTTCGAGCCCGACTCTCACCATCGACTCCCACTGTCTGCTATCGTTGTGTCCTTGGCAAGACACTTAACCTCTGGGAACACCAGCCACAGTGGGGCGGCTGTAAAGTGCCAAACTGCCGTTGTGTCCTTAGGCAAGACACTTTACCCCCATTGCCTAGAATGAGTCTGGTGTGTGTGTTAATGGTTGGTGGTGGTCGGAGGGCCCGATGGCGTATACTGGTTGCCTCGCTTCTGTCAGTGTGCCCCAGGGCAGCTGTGGCTACAGTAGTAGTTTATTACCACCGTGTATGGAGTGAATGAATAATGACATGTAAAGCGTCTTTGAGTGTCCAAAAAAGCGCTATATAAAACCGATGCATTATTATTATTATTATTAATAACACTCCCGGTTCACTGGACAAGCTTTAGCGTTAGCATCTTTGGAGAGAGGGAGAGAGAGAGACTGCAAAGAGAGACCAGAGGGAGAGACCATAGAGAGAGAGAGCCCCGTGAAAGAGATCAGAGAGAGAGACCACAGAGAGAGAGAGATCAGAGGTTTGGTAAATAAGGGAGGAAATTGTTGTCAGATGATTTAAGTGCACTCCTCACTCTCTCTGTCGGTGGTTGATGACTCCTGCTTCACTGGACTAGCTTTAGCGTTAGCATCATGTTGCGCTAACCTGTAATTTTGTGCGTTTGTTCGGAGCCTGCAGGCGCTGAGCTGCTAATGACACCGGGTTAGCCTGCTGTGATCTACGCCTTATCAAATTAACTCTCTCATATAGTGCAGAGAGAGGCTAATCTTAGAGCGGCAGGAGAGCAGCTCAGTGGACGGAGAAATACACTTCTGTGATTTATTCACAGAATCCGCAGACACTCAACTATGGGAATTCAATAATGTTTTTAATGGCCTCATAATGGGCTCCGGGCAAACAAACAAGCTACGTTTGTTTCCGTTGTCTCTTTGACTTTGAGTAATGGCTCAGAAGCAGATTCACAATGTCCTGTATGCAGTTACTCTTTATTGTACCTACTGTACAGGCAAAGAAAGGAAAGTTTATCTGTATAGCACAGTTGATACACAAAGCAACTCAAAGTGCTGAACAAAATGAGATGAAACGATCACATAAGGTATTCAAATCATAAATAATAATTCTGGATAATCACAGCACTAGCTGGAGGGTCCGGGGGTCAGGACTCAATGAAGGCTTGTAACGTATGTGTGTTACCATGTGCTACCCTGTGCTACCATTGCATGTTATACATCAGAGGGCTCAAACTCATCTTGGTCGGGACTCGGGAGCCAAAAGTTTGTTAATTATTCTGGATTCAACCACAACTGGCAGTTCGGTATTAACTTTGTTAACTACTAACTTCACTTTGAATTACAAGTTACAAGTACAACATATTAGAACAGATTCAGTTATATTGTAAATTAGAAAATATTTAAAATGTAACATGCCATAGAAGCCCATTTCCATCCAACGCTTCGGGTTAATGTAATTATGATAATTGAAAATTATTTCAGGGGCCACCAAAACTGGTGTCAAACTCAAGCCGGTGGTAGTTTGAGACGCCTGTTATACATTTATTCTGTTCACAGACAACACTAGGTATCTTCTTGTTTGGCAAATGGGTTCAGCCCTCCACAAAAGGTCCCTATCCCAATCGGCCCCTGGTCTCATAGTACAGCTGTGATGCCACCTTCAGGTGAAAGCCAGATCCTCGGAGACCTCTGAAGCTAAGCAGGACAGGGGCTGGTTAGTACTGTGATGAGAGACCTTTGGGAACACCAGGTGCCACAGTGGGGTGTTTGCAGCTTGTCCTTAGGCAAGACACTTCCCTCACAATAGAACGAGTCTGGTGTGTGTGTGAATGGTTGGTGGTGGTAGGAGGGGCTGATGGAACAGTCTGCTTGCCCCGCTGCTGTCAGTGTGCCCCAGGGCAGCTGTGGCTACGGTTGAGGTTTATCACTGCAGTGTTTGGAGTGAAAGAATAATTATGTTAAGAGTGTCCTGAAAAGCTCTATATAAAACTGATTATTACATTTGTATCATTATTACCCCTAGTCTAACACCAAAGTTATGGCGGAGGCCTGGTTGTGTTTCATAACCATATTAAGATTCCAAATGTAGCTACACTAAAAGGGTTTGAGCATTTTTTTTACGTCGGACTGTTTCTGAAGTCACATCCTGTTTCTACACAACGTCTTGCGTTCCTCGTTCTGCAGAAGCTGGAGCCGACAGCCTGCTTTGTTATGTGTTCTTTTGTAAATGACTACGAGGCCCTGTCAACTCCATTCTGATTTTACCTTTTCACAAACACGAATCTCTCCAAAGACAACATGCATTCACCGGCTCCTGCTCGAAGGCAGAGCCAGAGACAGATCCAAAGGCAGATCCAGAGGCAGATCCAGAGACAAATCCAGAGACTGATCCAGAGACAGATCCAGATCCAGATCCAGAGTCAGATACAGAGACAGATACAGATCCAGAGTCAGATACAGAGTCAGATATAGAGGCAGTGACAGATCCAGGGGGCAGGTCAACATTGCAATCCGTGTCAAAACAAATAGAAATGATTAAGAAATGTATGCTTATTTTCTGTCGCAATTTGATCTGATGCAGTGAGAACAGGTCCGTGGCTCGCTGCCAGGAGAGAGTGGGAACATCGCCAACCATTCTGTGTTTTTCCCCCCATTTTTGTGTAACTAATCTCCGGCTACATTAAAGCCTGGAATACAAACGTTATCACACTTAAGTAGATCCAAACAGAGCTCATTCAAACAATTACCATCAAAATCAGGACAATTATAGCTGTTTATTTATGATGGGGAATGGGGAAAATGGATTTGAGATTTGTCTGGGTCTCTGTTTGGTTTTAGAAAGAGAAAATAACAAACAAACAAAAACACTTTTACACAACTATTACTACTGCTGTGTTTCATGGTTCTGCATGAGAGACCAGAGAGCGATTCCAGAGAGAGACCTGAGAGAGAAACCAAAGAGATGACAGAGAGAGAGACTAAAGACAGACTAGAGTGGCGCTCCGCTCTGAAAGAGGACTGTGAGCTACCTGTTCTGGAGGTTCTTTATGTAACCTCACTTATAAAAAACAGCTCTTATCAATGACTCTTCTGGTCCCTCTGGCAGAAGATTTCGTTGGTTTTCTAATTGACAATTGGGAGAGCAGGCCGGGCTCCTGTCTGTCAGAGTGATTCTGGTCTGGGACAGAATAAGTGAGCCAGTCAAGGATGTAAACACTCTAAACATGTTTTTGGTACAGATGCACAGACACCGATACAGGTATCGGGTTGATACCATAGGCTTGTACTCATACTCATACCAATTTTTTTAATTTACATTAGTGCCACAAAGACAGACAGCTGTGCAGCACGTGTTGTCATGGTGATCTCCCAAAGTCAGCAGCGAAAAAGCAAGCTAGCAGCAAGCAAGCTACCGGTAAATATTCTTCACTAAAAGTTTCTTGTTTCTGGTCAAGAGCTGCTGGAGCTGGAGGTCGGAGGTCACACGGCACAGAATGTCAGCCATGTCTGTATCAGTTTGCCCCAAGGCAGGCTGCGCTGGCATCAAAATGGACTTTGCCTGAGGAGAGTTTGAATAACACATCTCATTATAAAAATGTCTTTGGGCAGAAACAGTTTCAGGAAAAGAGAATCTGCTGCATCCCTTCTTCTGGACGCCGTGGCGCTGGCTTCTTTTTAACTAAACCCTTAACTGTAAAAATCTGAGGAGTAGATCCACATGAGGCATTTCACAGATTGGATTGGCAGAATGTGTCTGCAGCCTCATTTTACTTTTTATTGTGATCTGTCAGACACAAAAGACTGTGGTGTCACTGAGGCGTGGAGCTGGAGGCAGCATCTGTGCTGCTGTGATAATGGACACACGGAAACACAAAAAGGCAACACACTTTTGAATAGGCCTCTTTTCTTATCTCTAATTATAGATCAATATTTTCAAAAATAGAAGAATTTATACAATGTGGGTCTCCCTGAGGTTTTTTCACTTTTTCCCACCAGGTGTTTGGTAAGGCAAGTTTATTCGTATCGCACAGTTCATTTGCTGTAACAATGGCATGTTGCTAGGCGGTGGCTAAGTTCCTCCTAAGAACGAAGGCCTCTGATTGGTCAATCCTTATGCCTAACTTGGATTTACAAAAACAATATCACATATAAACAGCAGGATCACAGAGAGCACTAAATGGTGAGTGTGAAAAAAACGGTAACTGAGCTAGAGGAAATTATTTTTACATGGAAGTCAATAGGAGCCAGAGTGTCACGTGCTGGGAAGGATGAGGACTCAAAATTGCAAGAATACCAAAAAAAGAGTAATTTAATGATGAATAAAAAAAGTGCAGATTAAAACTCAAAAATCCAAAAACACAAGGAACCAGGAACAGGACAGAACGGGACAGAAAAGGACATGAACAACACAATGGACCAGCAACAAGAGGAGAGAAGCACAGGGTACATAGAGACACAGAGAGACACATCAGGGCGGGGCAGACAATCAAGACAGGGGAAACAGTACAGGAAGTAAAACCAAACCAAACTACAGAGAACAAAGTCAAAAGAAAACCAAAATACAAAATAACAAAATCCACACCGTGACACAGAGAGAGTCGGAGCAAAAACTTTGTTCGTTAGCTAGCGGGTTAGCATTATCCACCTCTATACTGTAAAGTCTATGCTTATCCCCGCCCTCATGCCCCATAAAACACACATCAGTGTCATTTCAACAAAGCAATGAACGATGTTGCAATAATAATCTATGTGTCTTTCTCTCTTTTTTGCAGATTTCAAAGACCAGAATTGACCAAGAATCTGCTGTTTTGGATCAGCCGCCAACTGTGAAGCGCCAACAAACACACAGATGGAGGACCTCAACGTTTTCGACTAGATTTCAGATTTACATTTTTTGGCATTAAATCAACGTACTTGTAAACCACATGATTCAGCAGACGTTATATAAGAATTTCTGCTCCTGCCGATCTCCACAATGCAATGGAAAAGGCGCCACTTGTGTCCGGTTAAGATGACCTGGACATTTAAACGCTCCCTGTTCCGGACTCACGTAGCCGGCTTGCTATCACTAGCTTTACTTTTCACCTTATTTTTATTTTTTAGCCACCAGGATTGGCTTCCAGGGCGCACGGGGCAAAGAGACAACCCGATAGCCTATACGATAAGAGGGTTTCGAAGCGCGAAAGTTGACATAAGCCAGAACAACTCCTTACGAAGTTTGCTAAAAGATTCTAACGTTGTGGCTAAACCTTTGCTCAACCTCAGCTCACAGCAGGCTGAGACAGGGAATCCTGGTGGGAATTCTGGTCGCGTGACAGGACTTGGTGATGCAATGAATGCTAACAACAGTTTACAAAAGGAAATGGATGTCACAGGGAAGCTAAGTGCCCAACCGTATCGCTACATCCTAAACGAGCCTCTGAAATGCAAAGATAGCGCTCCGTTCCTCGTCTTGCTGATCGCAGCAGAACCAGGACAGAGGGATGCCCGCGACGCTATTCGCCAGACGTGGGGGAACGAGAGCTCTGCAGCGGGGTTAGGCTTTGTGCGGTTGTTCTTGCTAGGGAAGGGTAGAAGCTCTTTGCAAAGCAGCCTCGAGGAGGAGTCTCGAACCCACCGCGACATCATACAGCAAGACTACCAAGACACGTACTACAACCTCACCATCAAGACCCTGATGGGAATGAACTGGGTGGCCACGCACTGCCCTCATGTCAATTACGTCATGAAGACAGACAGTGACATGTTCGTGAACACGGAATATCTGATTCAGAAGCTGCTAAAACCGGAATTACCTCCGAGGCAAAAGTATTTCACAGGTTATTTGATGCGTGGATATGCACCGAACCGAAACAAAGACAGCAAATGGTACATGCCGCCGGAGCTTTACCCAAGCGAGCGCTATCCCATCTTCTGCTCAGGAACCGGGTACGTGTTTTCCGGCGATCTGGCGGAGCTTATCTACCAGGCGTCTCTGAGCATTCGTAGGCTGCACCTGGAGGACGTGTACGTGGGGATCTGTCTCGCCAAGTTGCGCATCGATCCGCAACCGCCTCCCAACGAGTTTCTCTTCAACCACTGGAGGGTGTCGTACTCAAGCTGCAAGTATAGCCACCTCATCACGTCGCACCAGTTCCAGCCGGGGGAACTCCTGAAGTACTGGCATCACCTTCAGACCAACAAGCACAACGCCTGCATCAACGCGGTGAAAGAGAAGAACGGGAGGTACAGGCACAGGAGGTACCACGGAGAGCGGCCACCTTGATGCTCTCCCTTGACTCTAACTGTGTGTACGATGGAAAAAGCACATTGTTTCTTGGTGTGGAAAGTGGATGATTCAAAGTATTTTTTTAATTTGAAGAATTATTACATATGTGGTGTGATATCTATGAAAAGGATATAGAATTGTGGGTACTTTTAAGAAGATATATAATATATAAATATGAAATGGATGGAAGTGGGAAGTCGGGGTCATATATTTTATTGAATGCTCCTATCCACAAAAACACTCGTACACTGGTAATGTGAAGTAATAAAGCAAAAGCGGAACAGCAGATGCGTCAAACTCAGGCCTACAGGCCAAATCTGGGTCGAAGGACCATTTTCTGTGGCCCCTGAATGATTTTAAATGACTATAATTTGTTGCAGCATTGATGGTAACAGGCAACGAAGGCTTGTTTTACCTCTTTTTAAAACAAGAAAACAACCATATTATTTTATTTATTCAGAAGAGTTAAGTCAACTTGAAGGGACTTGCCAATAACACTTCAATTATGTCAATATTTGGTCCAGTTTTGGTTCAATCTAACTAATGTGAAACAAGTTAATTATTAAAATACTTTCAAGGTAAAAAGAAGAAGCCACTGTTATCCTTTCAGCCAGCCCTTACATTATTAAAGGTATAAGGGAAGATTTTCTTCATCCGGGTGGATCATCTAGACTGTCATTCTGGTGATATGTGCGACAAGTTTTAAAAGGCGTTTCCTGTGAGGAGGGTGGTTCTTTCCAAATATTTGGGAAAATCCTCCTATATACCTTTGACCTAAACCAAAATAAGTTTGACACCCTGCGGTACAGGAGTATATTGTCAAATCATCAATTGTCATAATAATGTTGTTCATTTGCATATTAAAATAGCTTACATAGCGTTTTGTGTTCACCTTATTCCTATGTTGTTCAATCACAAGGTTTAGCATCTTGTGTTTATCTTTCTTTTGAGTTTCTCTGCACAAACGTAGCTTTAACGTAAACTGTAGCAGACCTGGTGGTGTCCGGTTGTGAACATATGTTGTGTCTTTTTCTCTTTCTGTAACTCTGTATAAGGTTATGCTTATTCACTTTACACCGATATTTGATAATATACTGTCATTCCTAAATTATGTCATAGTCTGTGGAAAGGAGTGGTCATAATGCGTCCAGGTAATATATTTGGAAATCTGAGTGTTTGTGTCGCCAAATCAGAAGCGCAGGGGAGGGTCTGCCACGTCGCATATCTGGGCAATAATATGTTAAGAGCGGACAAACAGAGTGATGCAGATTTGCAGAATGTCAAAGAAGCAGACTTGAACATCAGCTAGCTTCTTTCTTTCTTTACAAGGCCATATGTTACAACCGGGTGAGCTAGGCGCCATAGCACATGCAGACTCACGTGTTGCCGAGATGGTTGCTAAGGCAAGCTGGAGTTTCCCCACAAACAAAGGCCTCTAATTGGTCAATCATTATTGCTCATCTTACTCTCTCTCTGTCAAACAGTTACTGATCTTGAGGAGTTTACTTTGACATGTAAGTCAATAGGAGCCAGAGAGAGTTGGAGCCACACTTGGACAATGAGTACTTCCCTATTCCCTTCATTGAGTTAGCAGGTTAGCATTGTCCATCTGAAAGATACAACAATTGCAAAGGCTATAGCAGCCATAGTGGCAGCTGCTTGGGCTATGATCGGTCCAAACAACACCAGGATCATGTAGAGCACTGCGTTTGAAGAGCAAAAGCAGGGACTGAGAAATTCAAGTGTAAAATCGAATGCATTTTTACTTGAAACCTTGCTTTTTGCCACTAAAACTGACCCAAAGGCACGTCCTATTGTCCGGAGTAATGCTAGCCACTGTATGTCCAGTCCTTTCTACTCTCTATGAAATCTCAAAAGTAGATTCTTAAATATATCTAACGCCGACTTTCATTCAACATTTCCGAACTCACCGGCCTCTGGGGGGGGTCCTTCTCTGGATAGTAGCAGACTTTTCAGGAGAGTGTTCTTTCAGGTGCCAAGGAGAAACAGAAGTAATTTAGATGAAGGTGTCTAATGTCGCACTATTTGTAAAATGTATACATCTCGTATGCCACCACTGTGTTTACAGACAAATGGAAATGTATGTCTTTTGTTTGACCTCTCACTACCTATTTCTGAAGAGAGTCACATGGCCTCCTCTAGCGCCGGGTTTAAAAAGACCAAATTCTCCTCTAGCAGATCCTATTAGAGGTGATTCTGCCTGGAGGTGGGACTATAAATAAATACATTTAGAAATAATTTTGTGTTGATGTGCTGGTTCTACAATGTGCAGAATTGTTGTTTTAAATTTGATATATTCTAAAATCCCTCTTTTCTATTTTCATCACAAAAAGTAGATCTGGATCACCTCCAAAATGATAATATTGATCTCCATTCATTTATTTACTCACTTGTATTTAATTACATGGTTTAGTCAATTTGAAAACTCAACATGAATCTAAAATACTGTAAAGATAATATTATCTCTTTCCATCCGTCTCTTTTTACCCCTGTGAGTGAAAATGGCTGCTAAACTGCTGCACAACCATAATCAGAACACATATTTTGGAAACTAAATAGTGTAAAATAGTGGGAATAATACAACATTCTGATTATGCTGGAGCTAACATCAGCCCACACTGCAAAAAAATATGAAAAATAAGTAAAAATTATCTAATTGTATCTTAATTTGAGCACATTCTGACCTTAAAACAGGATTGGTCATTGGGACAAAAAGGTAAAGGAGTTTTTGAAAAAAGACTAATTAATTTTATATTTTTTGCAGCTCATTACCTACTTTTTTCCATCATCGTCTATATTCACCATTGCAATAAGGTCGTCGGAGCCCACCATATTGGGTCGTATTTTGCCCCAGGTTCCAGAGGAGGCCGTGGACTTTCATGCTGCCC